CATGTTCTCACTGATGTGCTCACAGAGACAGCCACAAAAACAGACATGGTTGTTGCATTGCTGAAATCTTTTGCAAATCGATTAAAACTCGTGCGTGAGAACAATGGTGGCCCAATCAAGTGATATTGATACTTGGAATTACTTTTTTGATCGAATTAGTCTTATTTTACTTTGTTATGCTCTCTGGGAAAAACGTTAAATTTTTTTACAACACCTCTTATATATTTAACTGAAGAGCACTGTTACACCTGACCTTGCTAATATCAATCCAATCAGAATAAATTCTTAGCTGATAGTCGGCAAAGTCCCAGTACGCTGTCATGTGAAAGCCCATATTCGTTAGCACAGCAATATATTCACAGAGGGCAAACAAAGTATAGACTGCAATCAGAGAAAGATCAAAGTTAAATACACTTGTTAGTTTACTATTAACACACACTAATACAAGTTACAGATTTTATGTTAAACTAACTTGTAATCCATGTTAAGATTAAATACACTTGTTAGTTTACTATTAACACACACTAATACAAGTTACAGATTTTATGTTAAACTAACTTGTAATCCATGTTAAGATTAAATACACTTGTTAGTTTACTATTAACACACACTAATACAAGTTACAGATTTTATGTTAAACTAACTTGTAATCCATGTTAAGATTAAATACACTTGTTAGTTTACTATTAACACACACTAATACAAGTTACAGATTTTATGTTAAACTAACTTGTAATCCATGTTAAGATTAAATACACTTGTTAGTTTACTATTAGCACAAATTAATACTTAAAAACAAGTAACAGATTTAATCTTAAGCTAACTTGTAATCTATTTATTTTATCAAACAGAAGAGTTAATGGTTTGAGATTAAGATGTAACCAAAAAATCTGGCAAAAAAGAATAAATTAACATTTTACAGTCCTAAAAGTCTTAACTGATTGAAAGTGAGATTTTTTGTTATTTAGATCTTTACCTCTGGCTGAAGAAGAGCCACAGACTTTTGAAAGCAAACACACAGATGGATGTCTCCTACTAAGTTTTCCTTTTAAAAGAACAAAACAATCACAAATATGACCACTGATATATTCAACTGAGAAATATTACATACCCCCAGTTTCACAGTACCAGTTGTGCCTCATGAAGAAATAGCAAGCTCCAAGAAGAGCAGACACATTGATCATGATCAGGAACGATTTTGTCTTTAGGGATCTTCTTTCCTGAAAGAAAATTAACACTATGGTCATGATCAGGAACGATTTTGTCTTTAGGGATCTTCTTTCCTGAAAGTAAATTAACACTATGGTCATGATCAGGAATGATTCTGTCTGTAGGGATCTTCTTTCCTGAAACAAAATTAACACTATGATCATGATCAGGAATAATTTTGTCTTTAGGGATCTTCTTTCCTGAAACAAAATTAACACTGTGATCATGATCAGGAATGATTCCGTCTTTACGGATCTTCTTTCCTGAAACAAAATTAACACTGTGATCATGATCAGGAATGATTCTGTCTTTACGGATCTTCTTTCCTGAAACAAAATTAACACTATGATCATGATCAGGAATGATCCTGTCTTTACGGATCTTCTTTCCTGAAACAATATTAACACTGTGATCATGATCAGGAATGATTCTGTCTTCAGGGAGCTTCTTTCCTGAAACAAAATTACTCAGATATTGTATACTAAAATATCCTAACGATAGGTACTTCTTAAAGGAGTAAAATTCTTTATAAAAGTAAGATTTTCTTTCTTAGAGGTTACACGTGCTGCATCATGCCAGAAAAAACTCAATAAATTTACAAATGTCTATGTTTTTGTCAGGAATTTGCTGAAATTGACCCAAAAACACAATTTGAAATTTGTTTTTATGCATAAAATTAAAGAAATAAAACTTATTGAGTACATTTCAACTCTAGAGCTTTGTTTGCTCAATATCTGTAAGAACAACAAGTTTATTTTCAATATATATTTTTAATTCAGCAACAAAATTCATCCCTCAGGAAGAGATGCACCATCCTGGGTATGATGGAGTTAACAAAGAGGCTTATATTGCATAAATTCTGTGATTAAAAATCATACAATGTTGCTCCTTGCAGTGTTGAAAGACAAGAGAAATAGAAACCAATGATGTCATTTTATTATGAATTAAATAGTCACAATTGATCAGTTGAAGAGTGTTAACCTCCTACAAACAAACTGTTAAAGTGTTATATATCCGTAAGCATCTGGTAAGGCCATTTTCTCAAAAATAGTCTTTTGCAGCATAAACTGGCATACTGGTGTTTAAATTACTTTACAGGGTGAAGCAAAACTTTATAATGTCATTCATTTGCTAAAACTCCTATTTGTGGAAGAACATCCTTTGTGTCCACGTAGAGGATGTTAACCGTTTAATAATACTTCACAAGACATTTATCTAGTCACGTATGTGTGCACTGGATCGTGAATGGTGGAAGAGTTGACATCTTTTATTGTGTAACTAACGTTAACAATTTTGATGTCACACACTTGTAAGCCATCTGTAATTAATCAACTACCCAGAGGGTTGCCAAACTTGTTCTGGGAGCCATCATGGAAGATGTATTGACATTAACCCAACTATTTTGATGTCACACACTTGTAAGCCATCTGTAATTAATCAACTACCCAGAGGGTTGCCAAACTTGTTCTGGGAGCCATCATGGAAGATGTATTAACATTAACCCAACTATTTTGATGTCACACACTTGTAAGCCATCTGTAATTAATCAACTCCCCAGAGGTTGCCAAACTTGTTCTGGCACTTGTTATTATATTTAATGAGTCAGTGTTTGTTATTAAACTTCATAAGCCAGTTATTGTTAAATTTTGTAAGTCAGTAATTGTTAATGCATTTGGTAAGACTTATTTTTTTTTACAACTTTTCAAGTAAGTCCTTGATGTAAAATTTTTGGTAAGTCAGTGCTTGTTATTAAATTTGATAAGTCAGTTCTCGTGCAACTTGTTAACTAAGTTCTTTTTGTCAGGATTAGTAAATCAATATTGTTATTAAATTTGACAAGTCAGTGCTTGTCAAACTTGATAACTAAGTTCTTGTTGTCAGGATTAGTAAGTCAATACTTGTTATTAAATTTGATAAGTCAGTGCTTGTTATTTATGAATATAAACTTTGTTTGAATGATGAGAATCAACATAGTTTAGCTTATCTGCTGTGTTTAATCTGTATTTGTAGTGTACATTTGGAGTTATGAACTCAATTTATGTTTTATCTATTTTCACCATTTTCTATGTTACAGTACTTGTATCATGGGTACTACTTTGAATCTTTTCGAGTTCATGGGTTTGATGCTGTTACAGCTAACATTAGTTGGGTTAATGTTAATACATCTTCCATGATGGCTATTGACAACACTTACCAAGTTTGAAAGTTTCCTCGTAAAAGCAAGGCGGGGTAAAATACAAGATAGAAACATGTAAGAACTCGAGCTATAATAACAAGTATTGACAACACTTACCAAGTTTGAAAGTTTCCTCTTAAAGGCAAGGCGGGGTAAAATACAAGAGAGAAACATGTAAGAACTTGAGCTATAATAACAATGATTGACAACACTTACCAAGTTTGAAAGTTTCCTCGTAAAGGCAAGGCGGGGTAAAATACAAGATAGAAACATGTAAGAACTTGAGCTCAGCATAAAGGTAATAAACAATTTTTCATGAGCAGCTGAAAAATAAGAAAAAACATTTTTTTTTTCTAAACTGTGAATATTTAACTGGCTTTGTTTATTCTCTGTAATTTTAGTTTACTAGTACTAAACTTACAACCAAATATCATACAATAAACAACTGGTTACTGAAGTTTAAAAGTATATTATAAACATTAGAATCCAATAGCTTCAAAGAGTTTTAAATTTGAAGAGTTCCCTATATCTATTTATTTTAAGAAATTGATGAAATTATCTATCACCAACTCACACATTTTACTACAGCAAACTGAAAAATTGAGACTGTCGGAGGATACAAACATAAAATAAATATATATATATGAACAATATTTATAAAATACAACCCATATTAATAACAGAGCTTATATTACTACATAATGGAAGATTTGTTATTTCTATTGATAATGTTAGTGTCTCTGTTGATTTTCTTCTTCATGAGAGACTACTTCAAATAAAACAATCTCAGGAAGTTATTTTTATCACAATAAATTACACTATGATAAAAACGAACTCTTCCTGGCAACAACAAAGTTTGTTTCTGAATTTCACGCAAAGCTACACGAAGGCTATCTGCGCTAGCCGTCCCTAATTTAGAAGTGTAAGACAAGAGGAAAGCAGCTGGTCATCACCACCCACCGCCAACTCTTGGCCTACTTTTTTTACCAATGAATAGTGGGATTGATCGTCACATTATAATGCCCCCACGGCTGAAAGGGCGAGCAGGATGGGGATTCGAACACACGACCCTCAGATTGCGAGTCGAGCACCCTAACCACCTAGCCATGACGGGTCCAGAATAACAAGTACACTGCCTTTCACCATATGCTGATCAAGACGACTGTTGGTGTGAGGTCTAGAAATGATTATCCTATAAACTGTTTAATCAGAGAGAGAGAGTTGAGATCCACTTTGCCTGCTTTAACATTACAAAGTATAGCACAGGTAATAAGAATTTTGTGGCAAGAATAGCATACATATCTTTGACTGAATTAAGGACAAGAAACAACTTAGATTTTTTAAATCAAAATCAATGTTTTACGTTTTATAAACTTTATTTTGATTGAAATTAACATTACTTGAATATTACTTTTAATTTGAAAATTTTAAACACCATCAATCATCTTACCTGTTAGTTAAACCTAATCTTCAGCAACATCTTTATAGGTTTGACTATATTTCTTCAAGTTAGGAGACCTGTGTTATGGTAATGCAACACCTATGTTATCTCACAGATCAAGTTAACATTTAGCAACATCTTTATAGGTTTGACTATATTTCTTCAAATTAGGAGACCGGTGTTATGGTAAAGTAACACCTATGTTATCTCCCAGATCAAGTTAACATTTAGCAACATCTTTATAGGTTTGACTATATTTCTTCAAATTAGGAGACTAGTGTTATGGTAAAGCAACACCTATGTTATCTTCCAGATCAAGTTAACATTTAGCAACATCTTTATAGGTTTGATTATATTTCTTCAAATTAGGAGACCAGTGTTATGGTAAAGTAACACCTATGTTATTTCACAGATCAAGTTAACATTTAGCAACATCTTTATAGGTTTGACTATATATCTTCAAATTAAGAGACCAGTGTTATGGTAAAGTAACACCTATGTTATCTCCCAGATCAAGTTAACATTTAGCAACATCTTTATAGGTTTGACTATATTTCTTCAAATTAGGAGACCAGTGTTATGGT